TCTGATTGGCTCTGAGCAGGAGGAGGGAGGGTCTGAGGAGGCTCTGGCTCTGATTGGCTCTGAGCAGGAGGGGGGAGGGTCTGAGGAGGCTCTGGCTCTGATTGGCTCTGAGCAGGAGGAGGGAGGGTCTGAGGAGGCTCTGGCTCTGATTGGCTCTGAGCAGGAGGAGGGAGGGGCTGAGGAGGCTCTGGCTCCTCCCCCTCTTTGTGGGAGGCCTGTGTGATTGGAGGAAACATCTATCAGTCAGATATTACCCATAATGCAGAGCTGAGTGTGTGTTATAGTGCAGTCTCACCTCCTCTGCCTCCTCCTCTGTCTCTACCTGTGGATCTGAAACACACAGGTGTGTTAAATACTTCCTGTTACCTGTGAGGTTAAATATGTTAAAGGTATCTACCTGCAGAGTCTTTTTCTTCTGTGGTGTCTGGAGCCTCCTCCTCGTCTTCCTCACTGAAACATCAACAACTACATTAATATTTACGCGTGGCTCTTCTTGTGAAACCTGCCGACAGGAAGTGAGCTGTTCACCTGGTGAAGCAGAACACCTGCACGTTCCTGATGGAGGCGGAGTCTGACTGGGACAGGTAGATTAGCTCCTCTCCCTCCTCCAACAGGCTCGACCAATCCTGGACCTCCTGTGGCTGAGGCTCCTCCTACAGCATACACAGGTTAATAACTATACTCCTGATGCTGGCAGCCAATCACAGCGTAGCGTGAGCTCACCTGCTGCTGTTGGATCCATGTGAGCAGGGCGTTGAAGGTGAAGCTGGCCCAGTTAGCTGCATAATAACTCCTCCTACACACACACACACACACACACACACACACACACACACACACAGTGTGCAAAGTTACAGCACAGTGTGTTGTGTCACACCTGTAGTATGTGTATATCTGAGGTGTCTCACCTGTCCAGGTGAAGGACCTTCTGTCCGACTCTGGAGAACGCTGCAGCCGCCACCGACTCAGCCAGACCTGAACACACCATCAGTCACTGATCTACAATCTATAATCAGCATATAGGCCAGAGCCATGTCTCCATCAGTGAAGGAGCTGCTGTCCTCTCACAGGAGACACATGTTTATTACACGTGTGTTAATATGTTTAGTCTTGAATCAATAATATCGTTATTCTTTGTTCATTTGATAAATCCCAACTCCGAAGTTTCCTTATTTATTTAAAAGCTCTTAAATTTATGAAAATCGATTATAGTAAAAAATAAATAAGAGTCATGTGATGTTGTTTACTGTCATTCAGAATACAGAGTGTAAACAGAGTGTAGACAGGTACATAAACAGGTAAATAGACAGAGTTAGCATCAACAACAAAATAACAGCAGCTGTTTGTTGTTTACAGCAACACGGGCGTTAGCTGCTAGCCGTTCTCATTCAAAGTGAAGGGACCGTTAGCCTGTAGCTAACACGTCAGTCTGGGCGTTAGCTGCTAGCCGCTCTCATTCAAAGTGAAGGGACCGTTAGCCTGTAGCTATCACCGAGGCTCTGAGGGTTTCAGACCGGGTTTAAAGCGGGATCCCGGGATGTTTTGAGCCGAACAGACAGGCAGATGAGCGGTGATGCGTTCAGGGTACTGTCCCGCGTCATAAAGAGAGATACAAATTCAGGTGTTTCTCTACCTGTGCCCAGAATGACGACGTCAAATTCAGACGGCAGCTCCTCGGTGGCCATGTTGTTAGCAGGAAAACACGAAGTCACGTGACAGTCAGGCACACGTCACTACGTCGCTGAGTCACTGAGCAGGGCTGAATAATTATTACAAGTATGCATTTATAACAATAACAATAATAACACAAGCCAAAGGAGGAATACAATAATTATTATCAAAATGATAAGAAATATATAACATATTTTCAAATGGATTTGTTTAAAGGAAGAGATTCAGTGAACACATTTAGGTGATCCAACACACACACACACACACACACACACACACACACACACACACACACACTCTACTACAACACACACACACACACACAACACACACACACACACACACACACACACTACTCTACTACTACTTAC